CTCATCCAGTGACCAGTATATTTGCCCTCTACCAGACTCCTGTACCCCACTGGTCTGGATCCGTCACAATACAGATAATCTCGCCCTCAGAGATGCTTCAGTAAGTTTTTTTCTCAGACTGGACACCTTCCAGGCCTGGGCACAATTCTTTCCCCTGGTACGGCTCTTGTCCCAGCTCAGGTGGTAGCTTCGGGATTTCTCATGATGGTTCTTCTCCTCTCTCCACTTTGTTCTGTGCCACCCCTTTATATATCTTTTGCATAAGGCGGGAACCCTTTGTCCCTCTGGGTTCCCACCACCCCCTTCTCACTGGAAAAGCACCAGGTTAAAGATGGATTCCAGTTCAGGTGACATGATCACATGTCACTGCAAGACTTCATTGCCCACTTGCCAGCACACCCATATACAGGAAGACTCACAGGTAAACACAGCCATCTGCAGTTGATTGTCCTGGTTAATGGGAGTCCTCAAGATTATAAGCTTTGTAATGATACCTTACAAGAGACCTTTTGCATGAAGCATAGTCCAGTTACATTATATTCACTTATTAGCATATTTTCATAAAATCATATAGACTGCAACGTCACAGGGACATCTGTTCTTTCTCACAGTCCCTGCTCTTCTTTGGGACTCATGTTCAGGAAACAGCAAGTCTGTGTGGACGGCAACTCCCAGCTGTTCCTTTGTCAAGATGTATATTTTTCACCCAGACCCTCTTTCACCCAGACAGTGGGGATGGTCCATTTGACACCTGGCTGAAGTGTTGGCTAGTCATTCGTCTCTAGGGAACTGGTTGGTGGCTGGAGTATATCTTAGTAATGCCCTACTGAGGAATCCTGTAACTTTACATGCAATGTCGCCACCTATATTTTACCAGGACAATAATGATCAGCAAATTATGGTTTTCAAAGGATACCTCACAAGGCATTATTTGTACACAACTTATCATAGTCCTTAAAAAGAGGGTGACTATAGGGGTACAAGACTGGCACCAGGACAAAGAAATCAGAGAGTTAGTTGCAGGTGAAAGCCAGCAAACATCTACATACCAGCTAAATCCGAAGAGTGAGTGAGCTGTACTGATCTGTCAGTTCAAAGTGTCTTTCAGGGCAGCCCCAGGGTGGTCTCTGGCAGCCGTTCAGAGTCTCTGCCCCCTCTGAGTTCAAAGAGCTGAGAAGATGGGAAATTTCCGGTGGTTTTGTTCAGCTTCCAAGCCCACAGGACGAGGTCCCTGCCACGTAGTGTTTCCCAGGTGCGACGGCCATTGACCAGTCCTGTGTGTTGCGATGATCCCACATGGCCCAGCTGATTTCGTTAGTTGTGAGCGTGGGCCGGGGACCGATTCCTCTTCCCCGGTTCACAAGTTCACAGCAAACGTTCGCACTGTTATAAAGCAAAACTCCTGTCTTTCCGTCTAGCCTGGGACAGACGCTGTGTGATTCCTGCCCCAGCAGCTCCCAGCCGCTTATGGAGGCGAAAGGCGAAACATGTCCGTGTCAGACTCACAGCTGTTCTGAGCCGACCCAACATGCTGGGGAGCTGGGCTGGCCTCCGGCGACGAGTGTGTCAGGTCTTAGCTAACACCGGCAGCCAGGGTCAGAGCTGGCAGCGGGGGGCGGTCGATAGTGGGGGGCCAGAGGGCCCCTTGGAGGGCGCAGTGCAGGAGGAAGGGGGGGCAGATCAGTGACTCTCTGTGTCTCCATCCCAGGCCGGACCAGGACTGGATCTTGAGGCAGTTGAAGCTACAGGGCTACCCCTGGACGTATAACGCCAGCGCCCTGGGCCAGTACAGGTACCCTCCACCCCCAGTGCCCAGTCCCCCTGCTTCCTCTCCCCTCACCCCTCTGCCCCCTCCCTCCCCCATGCTGCCCCAAATACCTCCTTCTCTACCCCTCCACTCCCTCCCCCCAGCCCCCTTGGCCTCTGCCCCCTGCCGCCTCCGACTACCCCCCCCCCCATCTGCCCCTCACCCCTCTCCCCCGCACAGGGAACAGCTGGGAGCCTGCTGTAACGCTTCAGCTGACCTGGTGCTGACCCAGAACAACACCCAGAACGGCTCCCAGATCGTCTACGACGGAGAGCCGGACAAGAAGTATCTGGTGGATGAGAAGCTGTGGGAGATGCTGCCGCAGGTAGGGGGCGCTGGGCTGTGGGGGTGGGGGCTCACCACTGGGCACTCCGCCCCAGAGCTGGCTGCATCTCAGCACCGGGCGATGAGTCCCTGTATAAACAACCCTTGAATCCCACCCCAGAAGTGGCTGCATCTCAGCGCTGGGAGGGAGGCCCTGGGGGGGCGTGTCCTGTGCATGGTCAGTGGGTGCTGATCCATGTCCCCTCCCCCGCAGGTCTCCCCATTTCAGGATGCCCCATACAACACCTGCGCCGTGGTGGGAGGAGGGGGGATCCTTCAAAACAGCAGCTGTGGCCCCGAGATCGACCGCGCCCAGTTCGTCATCAGGTAACGCCGGCCGGGTGTGGGGGATGGGAGCAGGGGGAAGGGGGCACAGTGCGGAGATCAGGGGGTAGAGAAGCGGGGTTAGTGTGGGCGTAGGGTGGGGGAATGAGGGTATGGGGGGCAGGGAGAGTGGGGTGCAGTGGGGGCTCGGAGAGTGGGGTGCAGTGGAGCTCAGGGACAGTGGGATGCAGTAGGGGGGTTCAGGGACAGTGGGGTGCAAGGGGTTCAGATGGAGTGGGGTGCAGGGGGGCTTCAGGGGGAGTGGGATGCAGGGGGGTTCAGGGAGATTGGGGTGCCAGGTGGGAGGGTCACGGTGCAGGGCAGGGGGTCACCTGTTGAGACGAGGGGTGCGTGACCCATTTAAAAGGCCATGATGGGAGGAGCAGTACCAGGGGAGGGTGGTGTGGGCGGCCGGTGAACCGGCTGTTGGGGGAGGGTAGCCCCCGGCCCCTCCCCTTGAGCCCAGTGCCCCGCCCCTCCCCATCTGCCCCCCTCCCCCACAGAAGCCCAGTCCACCCCCACCTTGGCCCCCGGCCCAGGCAGAGCTCTGGGAACGCAGGAAGGGGGCGTGGCCCGGGGGCAGAGTGTGGGCGGGGCCAGGCGAGGCTGTTTCAGAGGCACCGCCTGCCCCTGCCTATGATACCAGCTGCCCCTGGAGGGCGGTAAAGACCTGGGACCCCCATGGGGGGATACCGGGCTTCCCTGGCTACTCCCCAGCTCACCGCCGCCTCCCCCCTAGGATCAACCCCCCATGGGGCTCCCCCCCCATGAACTTTATTGACGACGTGGGCAACAAATCGAACATCGTCACCATGAACCCCAGCGTCCTGCGCGACCGGTACCGGGGGGACAAACTGTGGGGGGAGGGGCGCCCTGATGGGAACATGTTGGGGGGGGGTTGGTGGATTGGATCAGAACTGGATTGAGACCAGCAGGAGGAGGGATGGGACCCATGGGGGGAGCCAGGATCAGAACTGGGGGGATGGAGGAGCGAGCCCAGATAGACACCCCCACGGGGAGGGGGTAACCCAGTTCAGAGTGTGGGAGGGGGTACAGGGGCTCTCCAGTCAGCCATAGGGTCAGCAGGGAGGATTGGGGGTCAGAGAAGACCCAGACCCATCCCCCCCAGCTCTCCAGTTGGCCATAGGGTCACCAGGGGATCGGGGTCAGAGAAGGCCCAGCCCCCAGCTCTCTGGTCGGCCATAGAGTCACCGGGGGATCGGGGCAGAGGAGACTGAGCGATGGGACGGCCATGGGAGGGACCGGGACTGGCACTGGGGGATGGGCTGTGCCAGGACAGTGGCTGACGGGGGCGTCTCTCCCTGCCCGCAGGTTCGGGGGTCTGAGAAACCAGCACCAGAACTTTACAGAGGTGGTGGGTGCCTACGGGGCCCCGCTGCTCCTCATCCCAGCCTTCAGCTTCGCCGGCAACAGTAATATCTCGTTCCAAGCACTCTACATCCTGAAGAACTTCAGCTCTCCAGTCCGCACCTTCTTCATGAACCCCGAGTACCTGGCAGGGCTGGACAGGCACTGGCGTTGCCGTGGCCTGTGTGCCAAACGCCTTTCCTCAGGCTTCATGCTGTTGAATGCCGCCCTGGAGCTGTGCCAGCACCTCACCCTCTACGGCTTCTGGCCCTTCTCCACTGACCCCGAGGGGCGGCTCCTGCCCGAGCACTACTATGACAACCAGCCCCCCAAGCCGGGCATTCACGCCATGTCCGATGAGTTCACCCGCTACCTGGGCATGCACCTGCAGGGCGCGCTGCGGCTGCATCTGGGGCGCTGCCAGGAGGGCCCGGCCGGCGGCCGCGCACAACAAGGCTCGGAGGGGGGGGCTCTGAAATGAGCTCCCCGGCGCCTCAATTCCACCTGACTCCCTCCCCAGGTACCAAAGGAGGAAAATAGCCAGTGGCATCAATTCATTTGGCATTCGTTAATTGCCATTCATTAATTGGCTTCTTTTCAGTGCTATTTGATTACCAAAGTTCATTAATGGCAAGGTGTTCGTTGGCCTCCTTTAATTACTATTTAATTATCACAGTTCCTTCATTATGAGTTGTCGGCTGGCCTATTCATAGCTCTTTAATTATTGCAGTTTACTAACTGTAATTAATAAGTCAGCACCTCTTAATTGTGATTTAATTATCCCAGTTCGTTAGTCAATCATCCTTCATTGCCATCTGTTGGTGGCTAGTGAGTCCTGGCCGACAGTTACTTGTAATGAGTCATTCACCAGCTGTTTGTCACTAATAAAGGCTCTTTGGTGATTGCTCTTCATTGGGGTGTGAGGGGTCGTCACCCCCGGGGTGCAGTCTGCGCCCCCTAACACTCCCACTGCTTTGCTGGTAACTCAGCCAGCCCCCGTTATCACCCAACGCGACAGCAGGTGGCGCCGCACACCCAACTCAGCTACCTGAGTGCTTTACCGAAGCCACTCGTACATCAACTATATAAACACCAGCCAATTCCCCAGCTCCCCAGCCTTGCCCCCCACGGGAGTACAGACCCTGAATTCTACCGTCTTGCACTGCCCAGGAGTCTGTCCGGGGCAAGCTCGTTAATCCATCGATGCGGGGATGGTCTGCGCCAGCCTTGACTGGCTGAGCTGTGATTTCCCCACTCAGAAACGCACGGGTTGGGATAAAACATAAAACAAGTTTATTAAACTACAGAGAGCGTAACTCATAGAATTATTTTGTTAGCCATTATAGCCTACTAATCCAGCCAGCCATATCAAAGAATGTGTTTCTTTTTCTGAATTCATCCATTTCATTCTTATATTTTATCAGTATTAATTCCTTGGACTTTAGGATGCATTGAGGCATAAGATATGTTTCCTAATAGTTACACATAGAATAAGTTTTGCTGAAATGCAAGAAGCCTACCGGCCTGTAAGATCCGGTAAGATCAGCTCTGTAGCTAAAAGTATAATCAGTTAAGAGTAGGTCAGCAGAAAAGCTGGCAACCTTTGGCACAGGTAAGAATGGTCCCTGGACTTTGGGGGACCAAAGGGAGGACCCACACACAACACTGAACAACTTTATCCGGCATCTGCAACCGGTTGGTAACCGCAGGGTCCACCACAAACCTGGGAGTCGCAAAGAGAGCCTAGGTTGGCAGTTTTGGAGAGAGATCATCCTTATTAATATCCATAGAAAGTAAGTGTGATAATCCACTAACCTAGAGGAGAAGGGTCCCCGTACAGTTCTTAGGATACGGAAATAAGATTTGGGTATAGTAGGTTGAGCCTGAGTTACATAGCGTCAGGATCCTATAAAATACCTGGTAAGGAAGAGTCAGGAGGCTCTTCTAGCACCAGAAGCTTTGGTTTCTTGGAGTGTTTTTTCCAAGAACTCTTTCTTGTCTTTGTTCTCCTCTATTCTACAGCATTTATAAATTTCATAGCATTTATTCTTCTTCTGTTAATCTCAATAAAGTTTTTATCACTTTGGTATTGTCCTCAGGGTAAGCGTTTTTGCCAAGCACCCCACGAGTCCTCTCCCGCTATAGAACCCTCTGAGTTCTCAGACCCTGTCGTCTAAATTGAATGAGAACGTATAAATCTTCTGGTCGGATGCGATCAGTGGCGAGTCATAGCAGTGAACCTATCAAACTCAGGTCAACAAGAGTGCGATTTGAAGTGAGTGTCCGTGATAGCAAAGAGATCGAAGCAGGTCCCCTAGGAAATGAAACAAAACTTGCAAACAAAGCCTAACGAACTAGATAGGGTTGGAATCAGCGATATCTCACCCCGATACAAGCAGTCCAGACACAGGCTAGAAATCCCTTTCGCCTGGGACCGGCACTTCCCCTGGTTCAGTCTCTGTTGCTCAGGAGTTTCCAGGTGTTCTCGTGTGGGGGGAGTGAGGCCCAGAGGTGACGTCGATCCCCATCTTTCAGAGCCTTTCCGTACGGCGGGAACACCTTTGTCCTAAGCTAAGTGCCCAGCCCAGTTGGTGGAAAAGTACAGCTACCAAAATGGAGTCCAGTGTCATGTGATCTGGTCACATGCCCTTGTGAGTCATAGCAGCCGTTAGCCGTAGGCTGGCTGAAGTGTTCCCAGGAAGGCTTGCTAGGTGGGGGAGAAGGCCTCTTGTTTCCCCTCATGGCCCATCACAACCAGCTGTCTAAACTGGCAGCATCTTGCCGAGTGGGTGTCATCCAGGTGTAACTGCATTCGAAATACAGACACGTCGTCAATATTCATAACTCCAGATACAAACCTGATTCAGGCGCACCAACAGGATAATCGTCTTCAGCGAATCGTGACTTTTCTGTAGGCGCCTCCCATGACACGTATGGTACAAAACGCATCAGAATTCTGTCATAACCATACCCCTATGATGAATATGACAAGGGGCACCTCGTTAAGTGCTCTTCATTATCCGTGACACTGTCTTCCCTGACAGGGCGTCTGGAGCAACAATCGGCGGGCAAGCCAGCTAGCGGTGAGGGCCACACTTAAAAACCTGAGGGGAAAGGACACTGCCCAGCTTACTTTGGAGTGGGTCTTCTGCTCATGGTTTGTGTTGATGAGTCCTGTTTGCAGCGTTTCCCCCAAATGAATGCTCCCCAAATTAATTCCCTCCCTGTATTAAACGTTTTTTGCTACACTCAGACTCGGTGCTTGCGAGAGGGGACGTACGGCCTCTCAGAGGCACCCAGCGGGTGGTGTGGAATTGTCCCAGGTCACTGGGTGGGAGCTCGAGATGGTTTTGCGTCATATTGTGGAAAATGAACCGCGAGATATGGGAGAGGTGAGCTGAGCAGTGGGGAACCCCACAGGTGTAGAGAGTGGGGAAGAACCCTGCCCTGAACAGGAGCTAAGGACCCTTCCATGTCCAAAGACAAGGACCTGCCAGAGGGGAGAGACTGAGTCGTGCGTTTGCTGTGGTGCTGCCACGCCCAGATGGGCTACCAGAAACTAGGGACTCTCCCTCCCCCGGCAGGAAATAGAGATAATACAGAAAGTACATTTGGATGTCCATACTTACACCCTTATCTTCCTTAACCATTATCTTACAGACTTAACCATAAGCTTTCTCATCACCGTCATCTTCCCCGGTAGCAAATCATTCCGGCCCCTTCCAAGGTCTACATCTCTCCAACCTTTCAGTTCCCTATAACTTAAGAGTTACTTAATTTTATCTATACCAAAGGTTATAAGCATCAAGCCTCACACTATTACTAAAGCCAAATCTTACAGGATAAAAGCCTGTCGGTTCCTTGCATTGCTACTAAATATAATAAAGCAATGAATCTAATACAGGGAAGCTGGCCCACTGTGTGTAAGTATGGTCGCCGAATGTACTTTCTGTATTATCTCTATCTGCCTTGTTGAGTTTAGGAGGGAGGGATAGCTCAGTGGTTTGTGCATTGGCCTGCTAAACCCAGAGTTGTGAGCTCAGTCTCTGAGGGGGGCCACTTAGGGATCTGGGGCAAAATCAGTACTTGGTCCTGCTAGTGAAGGCAGGGGGCTGGACTTGATGACCTTTCAGGGTCCCTTCCAGTTCCATGAGATAGGTGTAGCTCCATAGATTTAAGTGTGTGTATAACTTTGCTAAATTTTCAATAAATCATCAGTTTGTAAATATATATCAAGGGGTTCCCATGGTGTGAGTCTTGCACCTGTGCACATCAGGGTTCCCGAATTATTGGTTACTTTTAGATGGGACTCCGTGGGGCGCACAGGGGTCACCTCCCTGCCCAGTAACTTGCTTTTGAAAATTCTAAATTAGAAACTAAATTAAAACTCTCAGTCGGAAGTTGGTGCCTGTCAGACACGCTCCCCGGAACTCAGCAGGGGACTGCCTCTTTTCCCTCTTCAGCTGCTGTTCCTCTTTCCTGGTTCTTCGCCTTTAGTCGATTCTGTCCGCTTTTCTTAGGAAGGGAGAGCTGGGACACAGACAGACATCAAAGAAAGGTGCCCTGGACTTGAGTTTTTAATCATCGGGTATGTCGGGGGCAGGATGCAAGTGTCACGGAGTGTGGGGGAGTCAGGGCCCTGCACCCCCCACTTCCTGCGATTCCCCGGGACTCTCAGCCAGCGACACAGAAGGTTTATTGGATGACAGGAACAGAGTCTGAAACAGAGCTTGTAGGTACAACTAGGACCCCTCAGTCAGGTCCCTCTGGGGGGCAGGGAGCTTAGACCCCAGCCCCGGGACTCCCTCCATTTCCCCAGCCAGCTCTAAACTCCAAACCCCCTCCAGGCGTCTCCTCCAGCCACCGCCCCCGGCTCCTCCTCCAGCCTTTGTCCAGCTTCCCAGACAGAAGGTGTCACCTGGCCCCAACCCCCTCCTGGGTGCAGGTTACGTGCTCAGGTATCTTCCCTCAAGGCCAGTCTCCCATCCCCAGTGCAGACAGACCCAGCCAAACTCCCCTGCAACCTTCCCCGGCCCATCCTCCCCACTCCCTGCTGGGTCACAGCAAGTGAGGTGATGCGGGACATCCACCTGATTGCACTCCTCATTGAGTATTGACTATCTCAGAGCTCAGTACGGTTCCAGCTACCTGGTTCTAGCTACCTTCACGTCAGTCCCCTCAACTCTCCACTGCTGCACCTAGATCCCTCTCTGACCAGCTGCTCAGTCCGTCCGGACTAGGTCATTTACCTCTCCATGAGTTAATCCAGCGAGGGAAGTGAGAGGGAGCAGAACCCCCCTCCCCTCTGTTTTTTCTTGGGACTTGTTTAAGTAATTGTTGAACCGATTAAGGGGTTAATTATTTAAGGAGGGACGTCCCTATATCTATATATACACCTCTACCCCGATATAACACGACCCGATAGAACACGAATTCGGATATAACACGGTAAAGCAGCGCTCTGGGGGGGCGGGGCTGTGCACTCCGGCGGATCAAAGCAAGTTCCATATAACGCGGTTTCACCTATAACGAGGTGAGATGTTTTGGCTCCCAAGGACAGCGTTATCCCGGGGTAGAGGTGTATATGGGTGTGTCGTGTTCACGTTTTTTAGGTAGATTTAGAGTAATACATTTACTTGAGCTCACTTAAGTAAGAGTTGAAGAAAGGGAAGTAGTCAGCTGACAAGTCTGTGGTTGACCAAAGACGTAACATACAAACACAGACTGTGAGTGACTGGCCAACTGCAAAAGCAGTTTCTCCTCCCTTGGTGTTCACACCTCAACTGCTTATTTTCTGTGCCTGTTAAGCTCCCCGTGTGGTGCTCCCCAATGTTTGGGCTCCTGCCAACCCCCCCCCCCCCGACGTGTCTCCCTGCCCCCACTTGCTGCCTCCTCCCTGCCCCGGAGCCTGGAGCCTGCAGCACACCGTGGCCCCTCCGCTCTGCAGGCTGCCGGCAGGTCCTAGTGTCCCTCTTCACTAGGGCCAGGGCAGGCTGCCCTTCCCCTGCCCTTCTGCCCTAGTCCTGAGCCTCTCTCTTCAGTGAGGTGCTGCCACCCTGGAGTCGCTCTAGGTAAGCGGTGCCAGGCCGGAGCCCGCACCCCGCACCCCAACCCCCTGTCCGGAGCCCCCTGCCACACCCTGCACCCCACCCCCCTGCTGCACCTCTCACCTCTTCTGCACCCCAACCCCTGCCCTGAGCCCCCTGCCGCACCCTGCGCCCCAACCCCCGCCGCATCCTGCACTCCTCTGGCACCCCGCACCTCAATTCCCTGCCCTGAGCCCCCTGCTGCACCCTGCACCCCGACCCTGCCGCACCCCACACCCCTCCTGCACCCCACACCCCAATTCCCTGCCCTGAGCCCCCTGCTGCACACCTCCTGCACACCAACCCCCTGCCCTGAGTCCCTGACCGCACCCTGCGCCCCAACCCCGCCGCACCCCGCACCCCTCCTGCACCCCGCACCCCAACTCCCTGCCCTGAGCCCCCTGCCACACCCTGCGCCCCAAACCCCGCCGCACCCCGCACCCCTCCTCCACCCGCACCCCCAGGCTGGGGCAGTGGGTTGGGGTGTGGGAGGGGCTCAGGGCTGGGGCAGGGGTTGGGGTGCAGGTGGGGGTGAGGGCCTTGGGGTGGGTCTGGGAGCTCTGGGCTGGGGAAGGGGTTGGGGTATGGGAGGGGGCTCAGGGCTGGGGCAGGGGATTCGGGGTGTGTGCTCTGGGAGGAAGTTTGGGGTTAGAGGGGCTCGGGACTGGGGCAGGGGGTTGGGGTGCAGGATCTGGGAGGGAGTTAGGATGCAGGGGGAGGAGACAACCTGGGGCAGGTGGTTGGAGTGCAGGAGGGGGTGAGGGCTCTGGTTGGGGGTGCGGGCCTGGGGGGGGCGGGGATGAGGGGTTTGGAGTGTGGGAGCGGGCTCAAGGCTGGGGGAGGGGTTGGAGCATGGGAGGGGGTACGGGGTGCAGACTCCAGGAGAGAGTTTGGGTGTGGGAAAGGCTCAGGGCTGGGGAAGGGAGTTGGGGTGCAGGTGGGGGTGCGGGATCTGGGAGTTAAGATGCAGGGCGAGGTGCTGACCTGGGGCAGGGGGTT